ATAAATTGGTTCTTGTGATGCTTCCTTGATGTTTGATGATGAAGTGGAATTCAAGGAAGTAGAAGATTCTTCTGTAGGTTTGCTCACTGTATGCCCGGCTTTCACGGCTGCGAAGAGTGCCATAACCTGCTCTGTGCATTGAGTCTGGTCGACATAAACTTGGTTCTCTGCGTAAGTTATATATATCTTGATTCTTGCATTGTCTAATATTTTTATTATTTATGCATCACTAATATACACCACTTCATTGTTTGCATGTGATTTTTAGCCTTTAATCAGTTTTTTTATTATGAAATCTGATGTAATACTTAATCTGTAGCTGCTTTACTTTTTGATTATATAATCTATCATCACTTTGCATAAATAATAAAAGACATTTTCAAAGCTTTGATTAATAGGTCATGTTTTTTATTATGATAAGACAAATTTGATAAGTTTGCTATTCTAGTCTAAAATAAAAATAACTAATTATTTATAATAGATGTATACTATCTGATTGCTAAAAAGTCATATAATTAAAAACATGATATTATTTAATTGTATAATATTTTTTATGTTCCTTTATTTATATTATATAATTGATTTTAGCATAACTAAAAAAAACAAATTTATACAGTATTATTCTATTGAGTAATAAAATATTTGTCAATAGTTGTTTGTTTAAAGCTAGATTGGTAAAAACTTTCTACTTTTTTAATAATTTGTCACAACAAATAAATATCATCGTCTGTAGCAAATTGCAATTGCTCAAGATACTTTTTTGCAACTTCCAATACCATTTTTCCTTCATTATATGGAATCTATTTATCTTTAACTTCCTTCTCCTCCTCTTTCTCATCATTATCTGAATCTTCATTGTTAACCAAACCTTGCTCTTTGAGAATATCTTTAATAACAGATTCTTTAGTCAGTATATTCATTGTTTGTAATTTATCATCTACATTTATATATTCCTCTGCTAACAATTTAATATAATCATATGACATTTCTAGTTCTTCTAACATATTTTCAAGCTTATTCATATCATTATTACCTGTTTCATTAGTTAAATCTATTTCTAATAAAAGTATTTTCATTTTATTCCAACAATTAACGATTGTTGTAAGTGATACTTGTTTCTATGTATCAGAAATTAAATAAATGGCTTCCTTAACATTAATTGGCTTAAAAGACTTTTCATTTTCTATATCCTTTATCTATTTTGTTACTAATAATTTACGATAATTAGCTTTAAAATTTTTAATAATTCTGATATCACATAGTTGAATAACCAATGTAATATGTAGTAACAAAAATTTCAACTTAATATTTCACAACTTGGGACTTGAGTGTGCAGCACAATTATCAGCTAAGAGAATAGTTGGCTGATTGACTTGACTATCTAACCATTTCAACTAATTTTTCTATTTTGTTTCAGTTATCTATGTGGTTTTATTGTATGAGTAATTTAGATATATTGGTAGTTTTCATGCATTGTAGATATGCACTTTTACCTATTACAAATAGTTTAAATTTTTGTGTTTCTGATGCATTGTAGCAAAAAAGTATAGTGAATCATTGCTTGTCCTTTTTAAATCCTTTAGTAGCATCACTTTTAGATGCAAGTATTTTGTTTAGCTCAAGATGAAAATAGAGACCTGTCTTATCTGCATTAAAAATATTGTCAGAATAATAATTCTTAAGTAATTCTTGAAAATGACATCATTTACTTTTGATTGCAACCTTATTAGCCAATTCACTTTCTCCAGATATAGTCTTTAAACTGATATCAAATCATCACTAAAATCTAAACACCCAACTATTAGATGCCTCAAATATAAAGAGAAATTCTATACTGCTATCTTTAAGCTGTTTATATATAGAAAGTGCTTTGGTTTTAAGTATATTCTGAGAAACAAAAACATTCTGAGAATGAAAATTTAAAAACAACTAATATACAGCCACATCAATAATATGAAACTGTCTCTTTTGTATGTGAACATGTTGTTGCATATGAGAAGATGTAGTATCGTATAACTGAAGATATTTATCTTTATCTCATAAAATGTTGCTTACTGTAGACCTATCAATACTATATTGTTTTGCCAAATTCTGATGGCTTAGTTTTGTATTTTTTTTCTTCTTTTTAATAATCTCAATCTTTTTTTTTAAAGTAATAACAGATCTTTTTTTTCACTTTTTACTAGCACTAGACTTAGTAGCAGACATCTTGAAATGAATTAAGATAAGCAATACTAATGGATAGTTTTAAAACCCAATTTTGTTTAATATAAAAAAGTTCTGATTTTTATATATATTATATAATTATGAATATCTATTTGCTATTCAATAATTAATATAAATTAGAAATATTATGATTCACTATTTAAGAATAGATGTGATTTTTTAACAAAGAATATGCTATATATTAATTTTTTGATTTCTTTATTTATTGTTATTATATGTATTATTTTAATTTAATATAAGCCTTTAAGCATTTATTTTTAGATTTCATATTGCTAGCAATTTCAAAATTTATCTTTTCATATATGTTTATAATTGCCTTATCTAAATTTGTATAATGCATTAATGCATAAAACCAAGGTTTGATTTTTTTTTTTTGTTATACAGACATCAAATGCAATATTGATAATTGTATAACTTGTTAAAGCAATATATTATATTGCTTGAGATTGTAACCAAAAGATAGCATAATGTTACTGATAAGATTTGAATTGAAAATCAGGAGTTATACTATAAATTCATAAAGATAAGATCTTATAGCTAATAGTAAGAAATAAAAACTAATTGTTAGTAAATAAACATTTTCTACTTATAATTCAACCCAATTTTGTATGCACTTTTTGATTTTTCGATGACTATACAGCACTGGTAGGCTTCTCTATACTTCTTATTTAGGAACATTATTTGCTGTTGCATCTTATACTAATGACAGCTTCTCTTTACACCTCAACCATAGTCTACACTTTGCTTCTTTTTTTATTTAAGTTTTAATTTGTGAGAAAAGTGATCTACTAATCCTCTATTCTATTTATATATTGCTTACATACTTGATTTAACATCGAACTATAATTACATATTTAATGCATTGGTATTAATCAGGTAATATGATTATGCCAAGCTACAATAGACTTTATGCATATATTGTAAACAATAAAGTTTATTGATCTAACTGATATGTACATAATTTAACTAATTATATGATTGCATTCTTTTACACTTTACTTTCTTGAATAGCAAAAAGTTATTTTTGATTTCAAGCATTACTTTTTTTAACTTTACTGTTTAATTATCCATTTAAGTTCTATTGGCCCAATTAGATCTTTTTAGGATTACAAAAGATAAGACTTTTTAAAATTGTCTATCTTTATATATTATTGCATCGCTTTTTTTAAACAATGCTAACTATTTTCTATATTCTTTTTTTAGCTTTCTCTTATTCAGATTATTCTGTTTTAGAGGCATTAGATTTCACATATAAGTTTCACTATTTATAACTTTTACTGCTTTATTTTACTAATTTTATTTATTAAATTAAGCTTCAAACTTCCTATTATTGAAGCCTTGCCATCTATTGTACTTTCTTTCCTATTTTTTTGAATAGGTACATTTGGTCATATGTATATATATATATATATTGTGAAAAGTAAATTGTTATTGTACCTAGTTGCTATTGCAGGCTCAAGGTAGTGCAGTCCTAGTAATCCTTAAGATCATGAAAATCACAAAAATCATGAAAAATATAAGAAATTTTCATGAATCTAAATAATAGTTACAATTTGCAGCAAAACCCAATTTCTATAATATTGAATAGATAATAGTAATTTGAAAGTAAAATAAAGAAATGACAAATTAGTTAGTATATTAAAGAATTATTGTTATTTATATAATCATGATATATGAAAAATTATGTATAAAGATGACAACACTTTTTCTTGGATAAAAAACAATTTTTGGTATCAAAGCTTTAAAATTAATATAGCAAAAGTATCCAAGCAGTATTCAAATCTCTTTTTGCCAAACATATTGGTTATAGTATTCATATATTTATATTTTCTTGTTCTCATAATTTTTGTTGACCCAAAATTATTAATTAGTAAGTGATAAAAAAAAAGATCATATTAATAATCAAGATCCTTTTTATATAAACAAATAATGATTGTCTTTGTGATCAAATCCATTGTTACCAAATACTACATAATTATATTTCAGCATCTCTGAGTGCTGAAATAAGTCATGTGACTTAAATAAGCTGTGGACAAGTTCAATGATCATCATAATTGTAAAAAAAATTTTTTTAACTTTTTTATATATGTTAAAGTACTTTTTATTCTTGTGATTTTTCGATTAAAAAAAAAGTAATGGAAAAAACTTTCAAATACCTATATTCTATTAAAATTAATCAAAAATAATCACAGTATTTAAAACATTTTATTAGAGATAATGTTTATAGGAGATCTAAGGTAGTTAAATCTGTAATTTGAGTATATGAAGGCATTTTGGTATTAAAATAAAGAAAGAATGACATGTAACTAAGCCTTAGTACTTTGTAAAAAAAATAAAAGATAGCTTTTGATTTCATAGAGAAACAGCAAAAAAAGCAAAGAGTTTAATCTTTTTTAAGAAAATCTTTTTTATAAATTTTGTATCTATTTTTTTATTTTATTTTGCTAATAAAAATATATAATTAGTAGTAAATTTTGAATGCTTTTAATAAACTAGCTTTGGCTGATCACTCATACACAAAATCTGTAGGAAAAACATTTAGAAGTTTACCAAAAACGACTGTCTAAACTAACTTTGTAGGTCTAAAAAAAAAGATAGAGCTCACAAAAAAGGTATAGCAAAAGTGATAAAAAGAAAATAAATAGTTTAGTTAAAGCTACAAAGAGAAAAATTTCTTGGTTGGCACTTTAAAAAGTAAAATTTTGGGAACTCTCTGAAACCTAAATATGTAGATCTGTAGATCATAGCAACATGTGAATAAACAACAAAACAAACACATATATCAACAGATGCACAAACATGCCCAGTTTGGATTGTGATAGACAAAAGCATAGAAAGTTTCAGAACAACAAGTAACAAACAGGAAATACAAAGAATTAGACTAAATATGAACAATGCACAAATTCTAAAACAAAGCCTGATGTCAATCTATATTAAAAGAGCATACTGGGCAGCAAATAGCATACACAATAAAGTGTTTTTTAACCAAGCAGGCAACAGATATATGATACCACATAGAGAAGATGAAGTTGTAGCAATACTAACAAAACAGAACCTAGTAGAAGTTGCATTGCTATGTATAACTAGAAAAATAATCAAGAGGGCAGAAGAAGAACAGCCAGATAAAAAGATCAATATTACCAAACAGAACAAAAACATCATAATAATAGAGCTGAAAATGAGACAAATACAAAATAAAAAAAAAAGATACAACAAATCTTAACTAAACATATATTCAAAAAGAACTACATGAAGTAGAACAAGAGAAAGAATGAAAATTGAAAAGGCAGGCTAAAAGGAAATGCAAGACAAGACTGAAAACTCACAAAAAAAAATAAGTATAAAGGAAGTCAAGCATATATCAATCAGATAAATGAAAATCTGTCTATATAAAAAAGAAATGAAGAAGAACAAAGAGAAAACCAAGATCAAGAAAATACTGAAATAGAAATCAAAAAAGAAATTGACATAGTTGGAGAACCTCTAGAAGAAAGCATATAGGCTTCAAGAAGGAGAGGCTGTAACCAAAATAACAGTCTACTTGCTAACATACCAGCACACAATGTGTCTAAAAAGACAAAAGAAGAGCAGATGAAGTTTATCAAATGCTCATTAAAAAACAATGCATATGTTAAAGATGTTAGAGAAATCTTCAAAAAAAGTAACTATGGATAGAAGTAAATTTTGATTGCAAGTATGGCAGAAGAGAAGCAATACAAAAAATTAGCAAAAAGGAGAATAACTAGTACAAAATGATACCAGAAGAGAAAGAGGAAGGTAGCAGAAGAAAACAAGTGCAATATAATAAAAGATATTAGAAGAGAAAAAACTATGAAGCAAGAATCAAGAA